TCGCAGCTGATGTGACCGAGAGCGTAGGTTAACGAGGGCTTTGTGGCGCATCGTCGTGCTTCCGCATCTGGTGTGTTCTGGGCGTAAGTCTGAAGTTGCTAGTGGAATATTCAGATCATGGTGCAACAGGGCCAAATTCTGTCTATATTTTACTAAATATATTTACCAAAGGTCATAGCAAACCTTTCTCAGTAGAGCCACATATTTCAGTTATTATATGCTAAGTTTTTCCAATCTGCTGGAGACGTGACCCACGACTCATGATGGAAAGAAAAATAAGGAGTGAAAAAAAATTAGTGCTTCAGTGCTTTTGGTTGGGCATCCTTGGAAATTGCACACAAACCCAAAAATAAAATAAAAATACACAGAGAACATCATTCCAGTCAACTTTCCAAAATAAAAATAAAAAACAGCAATAAAAAGCAAATCCCTAGCACCATCTAGCAAAATGTGGTATTTCAGAAAACCTCGAAGCGTGCGGTGAAACAAACCGTGGCTGCCTCCATGTTTATTTTATCACTTCTTTGCAAACATGATGACATTCATCCGACATGCATGTACAACTCACTGCAGATGCATGTAAGCTGTCTTTTTGAGTAATGGTATAAAATGCAGAAGTTGTGGTTTACAGTTGGAAGGCTAAAAAGTTTCTTATCCTTCAACATTTGCACCAAAATTCTTGCATTAAATCTTCCGAGCTTCCAAAGGACACATTTAACACCACAGTTAAATTTCTAGACGTTGTTTAGGATATATGCAAGTAATGTTGAACCAGTTGTAGGTAAAACTGATATTTTATCTATTTTTTGGTGGTTCCAACCTTTTCCATCGCTGTTCTCCCAGTTTAGTAGTCATGAAGTATCTCTTACCGTACTCGTGAATGTTAGTCATCCCCTGCCCTCTCATTAATGCACTTTGCAGCTTCCTTTGCTGAAGGTGAGTTGGTTACACAGTAAAGCCCTGGAAGTTGAAGCTGGAAGTATGACAGAGGTGCCAGAGGATGATTGGATTTTAATGCTCCTGACAAAACCCTCTCAGCTGAAAGATCAGCCACAATCCTTTTGTCAGCATTGCTAAGCTGCTGCAATGATCACAACTGGAATGTGAGTTGGTGGGACTGCAGGACTTACTTTTAAACCTCTGTGCTTTTTATCAGGAACTCGAGTCTATGTGACTTACCGTTCTTTTACCAATCACCCACACTTATTTGTGTGCAGCAGACACAGCCAGCAGCACAAATCTGCAGAAAAAAGGTCAGGCTCTGCACTTTAAGCTCATTTTAGCTGAGAAGGTTTCATTTCGTTTAGTTTGATTTTAGAAAAGAGTGAACCTAGCTCAACTTTAAGAAGAATAACCTGTCTGTAGACCATCTAGACGTTCTTCTTTGTCCATTTTTACTTCATACTAACCAGATGGCAGTCAGATTTCAGACACAGGGTTCTGGAAGGCAATCATGGTACAAGATTGCTTTTTTAGGAAGGGGTATTGGTTTAAGTAGATGTCAAATTACAGGCCTCTTCTCTCTCTCTCTCTCTCTCTCTCACACACACACACACACACACACACACACACACACACACACACAAACACAAACAGGTGCATGTTCTCGTCGTGACTGCATGTCTCTGTTCCGGGGTGGTGTGTCTAGGCGTGTCCGTGTTTTTAGGTTATGGAGGTTCCCGCTGTGAGGCGATGAGGTCATGTACAGAAATCTGTCTCAGAGCACCTCAGATGGAAGTCAGCCACACAAACTCCACCACCCAGGTTGATACAGCGTCTCATGAATGTTTGATTGGTCTATTATCCCAGCTAGGTGGGGGACTTTTCATCCCCCGCTTTTGGAATTCAGATATTCCTTCTTCTCTGACATTTCCTCCATCAAACCCCCCAGTTCTTCTCCCTCTCAGTGCCGGGCGTCATCTGCAATGCTGTCATCTCTCTCTGCAGGACAATCGTACAGAAATCACCGGGGTTTTTTTTTGTTTGGTACGAGTGCAAGCACAACATGGTTTCAGGTGGGTGGAACTGGGGAATTGATACTCAGTCATTCCGACATTCCTCTTTCTCCACTGCAGAGGGGATAAAAATCTGGCCATCCATCTTTGTGTCTCACCCATGTCAGCATGTGGTAGAGAACGTGGGTACCTGGCAGTCAGAGAAAACAAGAACAAAGCAGGAGCATTACTTTAATCTGTCGCTGCCGTTAATTCCTACCTCTGCTATCATGCAGGAGGCTCAGCTTTGTGCATCTCAGCCTCCCCCCACATGAACAATCCATCACTGTTAGTGCGGCTCTCCAGAGTGTGCTTGCTCCTTTCCTTTTTTCTCTACTATGCCTTCCTTTCGAAAGATGAGAGGACTGTAAAACATTGTATTCCATTCTTGACTTGGCATCGTCTTCCCGCCTGCACTCTGGAATAAAACACACAGGATTGGTAACGTCCGTGTGAAGGGAACGCCGTCTTTTATATTTCCCTAAATCCTTTAATAGACTTTTAAT